CGGGTATTTTGGCTCTAACTCTCTTGTCCGATCTCAGAATGAGGTGATTCAAGATGCGTTTGAAATATGGAGAAGAAATCTACAACTTTCAATAGCTGAGCCACCCATGGTATGTATGAGTCATACATGGTGTTTTGTTCAATTGGTGGTTCGGCACTGCGCGAGCCAGTTCGTACGTCCTCGGGTATTTTGGCTCTAACTCTCTCGTCCGATCTCGGAATGAGGTGATTCAAGATGCATTGGAAAGCTGGAGAAGAGATCTAAAACTTCCAATAGACAGGACATACATGGTATGTGCGAATCACACATGGTGTTTTGTCCCTTTTGGATAAAACACAACTCCTAGCTGGGTTGTTTTGCCATTTCGTGTGTTACATTGACTCGTACGCTTCACCGATTAGCATCATACATTTCATTAAGTTGGAGGTGACTGGTGAATATGTTGGCTACTTGGAGCTAGCCGATGAGCGTACAAGCCATTCGGAGTTGGCTGATGAGCGCGCGGGCCACTTGGAGCTGGTTGATGAGCGCGCTGGCCACTTGGAGGTGGTGAATACGCGGACCACTTGGTTTTTCATTTTGGTGGCTGATTAGCATGCGAGCCACTTGGTGGTGGCCGGTGAGCACGTGGGCCACCTGACGTTGGCCGTTCTGGTGGTTCGTCGCCACGTCATCAACGTTTCGCCGATTCGCTTCATGCGCTTGTCGGACAATCCCCTTCGACTTGGATAATGGTGTTCATCGCTTTCTCTTTGTCTCGAACTGTGTGCGGATACCTATAGGCTTTTTTAGATGCCTACATGATACATCTGGTTAGGCTGAATTTTACTCTTAATAAGTCTAACACGTGTATTGTGGAGAGTATGATATCCAGCTGTAGTAACAATGGAGAACTTAATTACCTACGTAAGAGGAACAGTGATGGCCGCGGTTAGGGGGGGGGGGGGGGGGGGTAANCCCGGGGTGGGGGGGGGGGGGGCAGGGCTAACCCCTAGAAATTCTCATGAGTCGGTTATTGTGAGCATGGCCTTTAACGCTCAACCCGCTTTGCTTAATAGGTAAAGACGTATTGTGTGTTTTTTCATCAATACTTGATACAAGGGGCCTAATTCAAAGCCTAGTCCATTATGTCCCTCAGGTGGCGATGAACTCACTAAGAAAAGGTTCAAAGCCGAAAGCTACCTCTCCCGAATTCACGATACGAAAGGGTGCCCAACCTATATTTGTTTTGTGATTTGTTGTTTTATTTATTGATTTTGAGTTTTCAATCAATATTGCCTTTGAGGGGACTGTTGGATATTTTGTTGGAGAAAAGGCAATTTTGTCTTCTTGAATAGTCCCACATGTAATAGTATTATAAATACAATTAAAACATACGTAATGGCTATACATTATGGGAAACATTACAAAAATTTATGACAAACGTTACCGTATTAATTATAGGAATTGTAATGGATTTCTCAGCCCTGTATATACACCCTTTATTCACATTCAAAATATATATAGAAACAATTTTCTCTTCTTCCTCTTCTCTCCTCTGCATAATATTTTCATTCATATGTTGGTGTTATTTTTAGGAAACCATTCTTCATCTGAGCTGAAGCTCTATTCTCTCGCCCGAGTACAGAGGTCGGCCGCTTCCGGAGGTTTTTACCGCTAGGGGAGAGAGGATCATCTGCGTCAGGGCGATAGGCGGGTCATCAATCTTCTAGGATAGTGTTTACACTGTCGTGCTCTGATACTAATTGTTACGCACCTATACGAAAGTGTGCTCGCACACCGAACAAATCTCTCTATACCATCTGACTAACTGTGAAGTATCTCTCTATACCGTCGTCTCGACATAGCTACAGAAAGGGGTCTGATGTGTACTCACCACCGTTGTCGGATCACAACATCTTGATATTTCTTCCAGTCTGCAGTTCCAACCTCTTCTTCCACTTCACAAATATATTTAGGACTTCACTCTTCTTCGTCATGGTGTATATCCAGCAACGCCTAGAATAGTCATCAACGAATGTGACGAACCAATGTCGACCACTAAGTGATGCAGTCTTGGTGGGACCCTAAACATCTGTGTGAATATAATCTAGGATGCCCCTCGTCCTATGAATGGCTGTCCTGAACTTTACATTCGTCTTCTTGCCAAGAACACAATGCTCACAAAACTCAATTTTTTCACTCTTGGCTCCCTTCAATAGCACTGCTTACACAAAACCTACAGTGACTTCTCTCCTGTGTGTCCCAACCTATAGTACCAAAGTCTGCTAATATCCGCCTCTGAAATAGCTGAAACAACCTGGCCAATCTCTATGCTCCCCTTCAAATAATATAAGTTCTGACTACGGACTCCCTTCATCACCACTAAAGATCCCTTAGTAACCTTTGCTATAACATCCTCAAAGGTCACTTTGAATCCCTTTGCCTCTAAAGCCCCAACTAAGATAATATTCTTCTTCAACTGAGGAACAAATCTCATCTCCTTCAATTCATGGACTACTCCATCGTGCATCCGAATCCTCATGGTACCTATCCCATAAATACCACAGGATTAATTTATTTCCCATGATAACAATACCCCCATCGAGTCTCTCAAATGATAAAAACCAATCTCGCCTAGGAGTCACATGATAAGTAGCGCCAGAATCAAGCATCTAATCTGATGCATCCAAGTGGTTTACCTCCGGAGTAATCAATAGAGAAAAGCTCGAATCATCGAAATCATCGCCTTTCGCAACGTTCATCTCATTGACCTTCGGGCCCTTCTTCTTGCTATTATCCTTCTCCTTGATCTTTGGACAGTCTCTCTTCCAATGTCCCTGCTCCTTATAGAATGCACATTGGTTCTTTCCTAGATGGTGATGGCCTCTTGACTTTGACCTGCCTCTATTGCCACCTCTCGGATATAGGCTTCTACCTCTCGTCAACAATGCCTCTCCCGAAGTACTAGCGCGGGAAGTCTCTTTGTGCTTCCTCCTCAAATCATAATTCGTCAAAGCGTTAGTCACTTCACTATAAGTGATAGAAGATCCCCCATTCAACAATGTAAGCACAAAGGTATCATACTCCTCATCCGGTAAGGAGCCTAAAAGAATAATAACATTGTACTCATCCGATATCTTCTCATCCACATTGGCCAAGTCTGACAATAACTTAGTGTCGTTGCTCACATGAACTGCTAGTGAGGTGCCCCTGGACATCTAAAATCTAAATAACTTGCGCAGTAAGTGTAATCTATTCTCAACACTTTTCGTAAGGTACTTGTTATTGAGAATTTCCCATATCTTCATTACAGACGTCACTCCGATCATATCATATTTCAGCTCCTATTCCAAACAAGACATGATCATCCCACAAGCGTTCCTATTCATCTTTTCCCATATCGCCTCTTTATATTTTGATGGCCTCTCATGGACCATGATGGTCTCCTCCAAATTCTTAGCATTGAGCACATCCTGAATATCGCTCATCCACAAACCAAAATTGATCTTGCAGTCATACTTCACCACACTAATTTTAGTGTTCTGAAATCCAACTTGAACTGTACCCGCTATCTTGCTGCTTTCACCAACTTCTTCACCCATAATCACTGACTCCAAATTACAAAGAAAGATTCAAACTTTGAAAGGATTGAGGAATTACCCAACTGAACCAAAGATTGGATCCAAATAGAACTCCTAACCACACGAGGAAAGTGAGATCTTTAACGACAACTCCAAACCCTATCTCCACCGAAGCCTAGAGCTCCAAGAACCAAGCTTCCACGACGAATCTTCCTCCACCTAATGCCAAAACCCTAGATCTAAAATCTGGGCTTTGATACCAATTGTTTTGCTCTGATACCAATTGTTGTGCGCTTATACGGAAGCGTGCTCGCACACCGAATGAATCTGTGATCATGGGAGAAGAGAACCAACCACACACGAGCACAATTCAAACACTACAAGAAATTACATCTTTAACGAAGGGATTTTCCTTTAAAGAGCTGAAAACCTTCGTTATTGTATGCTAATGACGGGGAAAAATCCCTTCGTCACCCGTCGTTGAAGCCCTCTTCACTAAAGGGTCACGAAGGGATATACTACCCGTCGTTATAGAGTCTATAACGTTGAAGCCCTCTTCACTAAAGGGTCACGAAGGGATATACTACCCGTCGTTATAGAGTCTATAACGACGGAACATATTACCATCGGAAGGGATATACTACCCGTCGTTATAGAGTCTATAACGACGGAACATATTACCATCGTTAATATTTACGATGGTAATTATCACCGTTGTTACTATCAGTGACGGGGATATTTTCCCGTCGTTACCATCAGTGACGTGATATTTTCCCGTCGTTACCATTAGTTACGGGGATATTTTCCCATTGTTACCATTAGTTATGGGGATATTTTTCCGTCGTTGAAGACTTATTAATGACGGTTGGATACCGTCGTAAAAGTTCTTATAATGGGTAATTAGTAACTCATTAACGACAATGTTTTCCTTTCGTTGATGAACAAAATACGGTTTATAAAACCGTCATTATAGACTACAAATTTCTAATATACATTAATAATAAATTTTCCATTCATAGGCAACTATCATATTATTCTCAACCAGACACTATACCCAATAATGAATAAGAGGAAAAATAAAAATTCCATTCATTAATAACATCAATAAATAAAATTCCACCATCCTCAAATATTCAATACTAATAATAAGAGTTAATATCCTAATTGTTCCAAAGAAAAATACATAAAACTATCTAAAACAAATTAAAATAAAAGTTTGGGGAATACATATTCTTTCATCTCTAATCATCGTCAAAAGAAGACTCGAGCTACCCCCTCCTAATCTTGCATGGATAGCTTGAACAATTAAAAAAAATCACATAATTAAGAAATATCAATTAAGCAAATATTATCTTATTAAGTAAAAATCACATTTTTTAGTGCAAGTAGTCAATCATAAAAGTATATAACAGATTTTACAAAAAATAATTACCTAGTCCTGCACACGTTCTCGAGTTTGAGGAGTCAATGAAGGTAATTGCCTAAAAAAAAGTTCTTGCATAGCTTTTACTTGTGACTCCAACTTAGACATCCTTTGTTGTTGTTGCTCCTACTCATCTAAGCGTTGCTGAAGCATCTGGTTCTTTCACTTTTCTTCTATAACTTGTGTTTCCAGATCAGATCGACTAAGGAGCACTCCTCTCAAATCTTTCAAAGTAGTCCCGCTACCAAATACAGTGATGTGGCCATAAGATTGCTTCCCCCAAATTATCTCAATTATCTCTATGTCTAAAGTGAAGGGTTTGCTTGTTTGACTTGAATGATTTCATCCTATAAAAATTAAATTCATATGTTAGTACTATATAATGCATCATTATCAAACTTAGATATATATTCTACTTACATATTTATATTGATCCCCGGTACTTAATGTTTCATTAGCTTTCTTTCGGGTTTCATGGAACATTTTTGCCACATCAGATGGATTTTCCATAGTGACTCTACTCTCCAGGTTAAGCCATTATCAACCTCTTCCACATTTATGCAGATTACTCTGGTTCCGTGATTCTTCTCTCAAGTCCCTCATGTTGTCTAAAACCTTCTCATATCTCTCAAGTCCAAATTAGAGCAATAACAATGATAGCATAAATTAAAAGAAAGAAATGGGCATGAAAAAGGCACAATATTACATGAAAGATAAAACAAGAACCTCAATCTTCCTCAATCTTCTACAATGAATATTAATGAAACTTAACTTTATGCTATAATTTAAAACATGATTTAGAGTTGATATACATTTAGATAAAACAATTATATAACGTATCTACATGCCATATAGAGCTAACATAGAACATAAAAGCTTAAACTATTCTCACCTTATATATAATTTTAAAAATTTCTATAGCGCATAAAACTAAAAACCATGATAATAAATCTCCATATAATAAATACCATAGGAAAAGTAGACACCATGTAAAACAATGTCAAAGACCCTTCAAAAAATAGACACGAAAACCCTAAAATAACTGATGTGTATGTGTATACCAGAGGACCTGATGTAAACATAAGTTACATTTTTTGACCTGACATAAACAAAAGTTATATTTTTTTAATACCTATATTTTTCTTACATCATTAAGATTGTTTTTTCCCCTCTCCAAATATACTGCTTTTGAACCCTAACCATTTTGTATGGGACGTGCAATCATGAAAATAAGAAACATACACCAACTAAAACAAAAGCAGGTTTCCCTTGGATGTTCCACTTCTTCCCTACATCACCAGTCTTTAACATTCCTTCCTATCAACTCATTTAAGTTCCTTGAGTCAACTAAAATTCAATTTAAACAACACAATAATAAAGTAATAAAGCAGGTCAACAGATGATGCGAGTATGAGCAACCAATTACCTGTTAGACAATGCTTTTTACCTATGTTAGTAGATAACAGCAGGTTTATAATTATAATCAAATCGAGCAAACAAATCACATCAAAGCATGAACGAGAGCATCAATTATAATATAACAATGAATTCAGACAGAGTGAACAATCCATTTCTATATGCACCATATCATCACTATAACCATGAAATAAAGACACATGCAGTAAGCATATTACAGGTACAACAAACATTACATAAAACAATTTTTGTCCTTATCATTTAATTTCCCAAAACCCTTTTGCATTTGGTTATTATTTTTATTCTAACACCTGCCTACTTAATTTGATGAATGAACTCGCTGATAAGAGGAAAGCAGGCATCAGCCTTCGATCCTCCCTCGCAATCAACCATCTTTTTCATTTTTTCCTTAATCCAACATCCCCATATCAACCTAAAAATCAAAATTTCAAACAAACCCGAAAGCATCACCAACATCAAAAAACCTAGATCGAAGATAAGAATCTCACAGGATAGAAAAATACTAGCGATCTTGACAAGTGCGGATGTAGGTACTGTGGGAAAGCTCGCAGCAAGCCCTAGCACTGACTGAGAGGTGAGAGGTGAGGCGAGCGCCAACGACAACGCTATGAAGCGGGAAAAAGGATTGAGCGCATCCAAGCTCGACAAAAGATCTGAAATAAACCGTTACAAATTTGAGGAAATTCGAGATACAGATGAAGACTTTTATGGTTTACGGTTAGAGATTTTTTGGTACCTGGGAGAGGCGAAGGAGAAGCGGCGGCGATCGCCGTGAGGGCCAGCGATGAGCGGCAGGACTAAGGCGACGAAGAACAGGATTCACAAACGATGAACAGTAACACGAATTTTTAATCTAGGGTTTAGTTTGTTTGTTCCGGTTAGAGGGAGGTTTGGGTTTTTGGTTGTTTATATTATTTTAATTAGTACTCCTATTTTGATTAGGAGTTGTGATTAATGAAGGTAATAGACTCCTTCGTCTTTTAGGAGACCCAATAACAATGGTATTAAAACCAAATCAATGAAGGGACTAGAAAACCGTTATCCTATCTCACATTATTACTCTAATATTTGTGATAACTTGATGAAGGTTTTTAAAACCGTCGTTATTTTACACACATTAATGACAAGTAAATGGTCTCTTCACTAATTTTGGTCATTAAAGACCTGATTTCTTGTAGTAAAACCAAATACGATAAATCAAACCAAACACAGAGATATACGTGGTTCGGCAATTTGCCTACGTCTACGGGGAGAGGATGAGAAGATTTCACTAAATCAAGGAGAGTACGAAGGGTTACAATCTCACAAAACCACTCACACAAACCCTAAACCAAATCTCTCAACTTGCTCATAAGTTCTTCCTCTCAAAGTGCTCAGTACAATCTAAAATCTTTGATAAGAAACCCTAGAAAATCGTGTTTTAATTTATATCAAAACACAAACCCAATGTGAACAGGAAACCAAACTCAGGCCCAGCCCGACTCGCGGTCGACCGCATAGACACGTACGGTTGACCGAATAGAACGACAGAGACTGAAAAACATTACAGGGTTTGGCCGGTCGACCGCCACACCAATCGCGGTCGACCGCGAAAAGTTCAGAGACTTTTCCAGCTTGCGTGCACGTTTGTGGTCGACCGCCGCGCCACTCGCGGTCGACCGCTAGAAGTCCAAACCTGTTTTCTGCCGTTTTTTTCTGTATTCTCTTCATATACGACTGCTCCCGATCAGATCAGACTTTCTTATTATTTTATTTAGAATTTATTCTGCATGCTATAACATTTGATTTGATAATTTTCCAACATGGAACATATTTCATTAGACAAGGAGTCATTCAGAAACGTGGCTTAAGATCCTTTTATACAAACATAGCAGGAGAGATAGCATCAGAATGATATGATATCACTGCATCAAGAATGCGGTATAATACCTGATGTAATTGTTGATGTTTATCTTTTCGTTCAAATAATTATTATTGGTAAAAGTGGAAGAGTAAAGAAGTGCTCTGATAGTGATAAATTAATATGTTTGGCGATGGAGCATCACACTTGTTAATTTGTTCGGTTTTAATCCAAAGTCAACATGGCTAATAAATGGAATGTTTTTATTGATATTGTGCTTGGTTTCATAGTTCTGAATATGAAAATATTTCTTCTTCAGTATTCATCTTCTTCGTTTAGACTTGAGCTCCAATCTAGGAGGAGTTTCATTTTCCATGTCTGCACGTCCTTCTACGATTTTAGCAACAGATCATTATGTTATGTTGGGAAGAAATCAGGTTTAGGCTGTTAGTGACAAATTTTCTATTTAAGATGCCTGCTTCCAATGCGGCATTGTATTTAGACATCAAGGGCGTGCTTGTTTCATTTTCCAAAATATAGGTAACCAATTCTAGTAGTAAAACACCTATTTCCATTCCTTTCCATGTGTTTCTAGGGAAAAAGATTTTTATTATTTGTTTCACATGGAAACATGACGTGGAAATGTTTTCAATCTTATTCCTTTGTTTGGTTCAAAAATCAAAAATAAGAAAATATTTGAGTTGGAAACAATTTCCCTTAATATTTAACTAATATAGTTTACTAACTCCTCACGTCACCCCATTATTTAATTATTATAACCTATATTTCCACCAATTGAGCCTATCACATTACATTTTGAGAGGAAATGATTTCTATCCAAAAAGTGACGTTTTCTCCACGTTTAAGAAATACTTTCTTAAAACGTTTTTGATGAAATAAATAACAGAATAGGAAAATTGTGGATTTTTTTTTTTGGATTTTCTGATGGTATCAAAAGATCTCCAAGGGTTTCCTCGAAACAAACACTCCTATTGTTAAAATATATTTTTTTAGAATTATCGAGAAAAACATTTCTTCATTTGTTTGGGAGAAAGCTAAATGCCTTTGAAGAAACTCTGTTGTCGTATGCTCATCTAGTAAAATATAGATTCACAATGAGAAAATGGTACGTGGCGAATTGGTTCATTAACTCTTGGAATTAAAGATTTAATAATAAACTTAGTCGTGGTCTCGTAGTCTTGCCGATGTGTTGGGCCTTTTAATTCTTTACTCCAAAGCCATCTCTGGCCATGAAAGTCTTTGTTGCTGAAATTCTCTTCCTGAAAACAATGATAATTAAAGATTTTTTTGTCCTGTTGGAAGACTCTTGTCCAAGTCCATTCAGGTACGGTTAAAAAAAATTTAAACCTTGAAAAATTTCTTCTGCTCCCCACTTACCCTCACACATGAGTCTCCTCTCCATTAAATATTTCCACATCATATTGACACAAATAATGCTGAATCCAAAACTTTTCGGCCTCGTTTGACAAAGGGTTAAGGACGAGGGGTTAAAAAGAATGATTAAAGTACTTAGCCCATTCGATAATCTGAAAGACTAAATTATTAACCCGTTAAATAAGTTTTATTTTAGCCATTATGATCAGTTTTAGTGTTTGGGAATAACAATGATTTTGACTATTTTCTTTATAATTAGAAAGGTTAACTCGTAATCCTTTAAAATAGGAGTATTAGTAAACCTCTCATTTTGAGGGGTTAACTCATTTTAATCCCTATAGAGGGGTTAACTTAACCCTTTTATATTTTTTATGTTTGGCAAATTATGGAGGGTTAACTCACTTTAACCATTGTATAGAATTTTTTGTGTTTGACGGGTTAAGAAAGGGTTAAGTCTCCTTAACCCCTCACTTAACCCTTTGCCAAACGGTACCTTCAACAATAGTGGTGGTAAACGATTGAATCGAATCAAATACTAAGATGTTCGTATTTGTATTTGTTTAAAGTAATCAAATTCGAATGCGGACTCTAATATTCCTATATGAAGTTTTCCGAATTCAAACCCGAATGTTTGGTATTTGATAAATATTGATGAATATTCTCAAGTACTTATCTAATATCAAAGTATATTTATTCCGCTAAAGAATTTGATTTTCAAGTAATATTTAAATTCATAAATAAAAATTATTCCTTTATAATATATGATGTACATATATTTAAATCAAAATTTTCATTAGAAAACATATTTAAGATTACTAGTATAGTTCACGTGCTCCGCACGTGGACGTACATGTTTTAAGTTTCAAATTTTTATTAAATAGTAAAACTATGTGTTAATAAATAAAATTCTTAAAAATAAATGTATGAATTAATTATTATTGTATAGTTATTATAATTGAATGCTTTTCTTATAATGATCACCTAGTGCTTATTTTTTTAAAATAAGTCCCCTAAATTTAAAATTGTTCTTAAATAAAACTATCAAGTCTATAAGTTCTTTTAAATATGTCCCTCCAACTTAAAAGTTATTTAACTTAACAATAAATTAAATAAGCTTTAATAATCTTGCTAGTTTTTTCCCGATGTTCCTTAGATAGTTACACCTAATACCTGTAACATATTGCAATAGTTAATTATTATAATTATTTAATAGAGTAAATTACACTAAACTCTTATGAAATTTTCTTAGCCCCTATGAATTTTCAAAATCACTTAAACCCCTAATGACTTGTCTGTTTCAAAGAAAAATGCCCAATCACTTTTTGAATTTTGCAGATAAGCCCAACAAATTAGAATGGAAAAATGGTATAAAAAATATTTTGAAAGTTATTGGGGGTTTGGTGTAATTTATCTAAAAGATATTGATGGCTTTCTACGAAAGTTATTAGGGGTTTAGTGTCATTTTGAAACTTTAGAGTCTATTTACTACAAAATGCTAAAAGTTCATAGGGGTTTATCGTAATTTACCTTATTTAATATTATAATTCTTAGTTCAAGTAATACTATTAAAATAATTATACTATCTATATACTATAAAACATTTATCTAATGTAATTTGTTTAATTATGCTCTTAAATAATGTAGTACTATAAATATTTTTATAAATTTTTATTATACTACAATTAACAAGTAATAGTACTATTATTAATATTAAATTACTTTTGTAAAAAAACTTGGTTTTCAATCATTACCAAGTATAGATTATTCAGTATCATGTAATAATCTTTGAGAAAATATTTTAAAGTTAATATTAAATTATTTATTTAATTTATTTAATAATATAATACTAAATAAATAGTGTAATTCATAATTTATATGAAATTATTATAATAATCACACTATTTATGAGATTAAATATTTATTCTATTGGATTAAATATTTATTCTATTTATTTTATTGCTCATTGAATTATAGTATAATTCTTAATAGCACTTAATAATATATTATTTTATTTATACTATTATTTTAATTATTTTATTATAATTTAAAAATAATAATTATAATAATTTAATTGATTACTACTAATAATTGTGTATACTTAATTTATACATTATTTTATTAAATTGGTTTATAATATTGTTGATGATTTTAATTATTTAGGAATGTGAGGAGGTTCATGATTAATAAGAGATTATATTTATTTAATGAAAGAATAATTAGAGATAACAACTGTTATGGATTATTCAATCGTCAAATTGAGGTCTCTCGTCAACAGCAGGCAGGTATCCCATATTAAACCTAATTCACCCAACTCGACACTTGGGTAGTCAAAGTCCCAATTCAGTTGACCCGGTGGGTCGACATCTCGTCTTGGTCGACTCGAGAGGAGCTACTTAACGATCCTATTGACTAATTATCTAGCTGACATCTCAGCGAGGATCGACTCGAAAGGCAGTACCTCTTGACGTCCCTCCATGCAAGACAAAAACGACTGCCACCTTGAGCCCCCCTGACAGCGCGTCGACATTGCATTAAATGCATGACAGACGCCATCATTTCTCCATCCCCAACACTATTTATGACACATCGGATCAAGCCAGTTCTGCACGCCGCCTGTCCCATCTCATTAAATGTCAAAATGACCACGCCCACTCCGCGGTCGATACCTGTAAAGTTGAAGATGACTCAGCTGCCAACCCGGATTCAGGTGAAGAGACCAAAATACCCCCTCCTTCATTGCCATAAAAGGAGAAACGATTCCCAGGGCGAGGTAAGCAATTTATCTCAGTATTTCCTCATTCCACTGCACTAAAGAACTGTTACAGCTCACCACTTTCCCACTCAAGTATCTACCTGACTTGATTGTCGGAGGAATAATGGGGGAACCAGACCTCGCTAAACCCGATATCCAGAGAAGTTAGCGGTCCCTGATCAACCTCATTCCGACTAATTCATCTATTTGATTATTTAACATCAACAACACACAATTAGAATTTATCAAAATTTGAGATGGCAAAAAAGGAAATTAGAAGTTTTATCACCCCAGCCAACTTTTATAGAAGTATAGATAATGATTTAAGTCTTAAAATTAGTACATAAAACTTAAGTAGAAATGATAAGTGAGTTAAAAATATGACATTATATGTGCAATAATATAAATAATAAGTGATAAAATTTTAAATGAATATTTGATAGACAAACAAATCGGACATATACATGATTAAATTCTATTCGTTAGTAAACTCGAATATAAAAAATATTTGCTTAGTGGTAAATGAATTATCCAATCAAATATGAACGAACAGTTACTGAAACGATTATCGAACTAGTTATTAATTATTTGGTTCATTCCCACCCCTAATCAGGAACCTCGTCCTACTTTATGGCCAAAACTGCTGTTGAGAAAGAAATGAGTCGGTTTCTTCAGCCTAAAGGTGTCCTGAGAACATCATGCTACTTTATGGCCAAAACTGCTGCTGAGAAAAGAAATGAGTCAGTTTCTTTAGCCTAAAGTGGTCCGAAAAACTTTCACGCAAAATGGCTCCACCTCGTCTTTGAGTAGCCACCAAAGTTGAATTGAACACCGATAGGAAGGTTCCGTGCCCATGTCCAGGACCAATATTAAAAGCCAATAAATTCGACCACTCTTTTGTTTTGTACGACCAAAACAAAGTTTGATTCTACAACTGAAAACGTAATTAAGTGTAACCCACTGATTAGCGGTTAAGACATTATATTTCTCAATCCTCATCAAAACTTTTAAGATTTTGATATAGCGGTAAAACTTTGAAATGGTGAGAACTATCTACAATAATTTCATCAAAATTAATTAAAAGCAAATTTAGAAAAAACACGTACATACATAAAAAGACTTAGTTTGCATAACATTTCATAGTTCTACTAGAGTGACAAAGGTCATGCTTTTTCTTTGCATAGCTATACATTTTTGCAATCCGTTCATTAAATATGTACCCATATTGCACCAAAACTCCAAAATTATAATGAATATCAAAATTATAATGAATATCCATGGTAATAATTTCTTAATTTAAAAGTTTTTACTAATGGTATATAAGAATTTTCCCGCCCTGTTGTTGGGATAAAGAGTGAAGATCGCTGTTGCTCTCACTCTTTAATGTGTGAACCAGGATTGGTAGCAAAGTTGGCCGCGGCCTCTCTTGATAGAGACCCTTTGGTTTTTTTCCCCCTCTTTATCAAGTTGCTTCCTCATTGTTTCCTTTGACGCTATGAAAACAATGTTTCGTGCCCTCTATCAAGTTGCTTCCTCATTGTTTCCTTTGACGCTATGAAAACAATGTTTCGTGCCCTTTGATGCCATCTTAATAATTTTGAGTTTTAAATGATTAATAAATTTCATATTTTACTTGAGATAACATAGTTATTCCTTTGAAGTTAAGGAAGAGCTAGTTATACTCGGTTCCATATCCAAATCCTCCTGTTTTTTTTACTGATCCAATTTATAATAACCTTTATGTTAACTACAGTTCCATAATAGGCTTCATAACACCACATCATACATATATTAGTCATTCAGAATCTAATTTGAAAGCGATATATAATTTATTATAAAAAGCACCCTATTGTTGACACTATTATAGAGATGAGGACTTGTGTGCGGATGATCATGACAGATAAGAAACGGGGTCGGCTTACCTAATTGCCTGTTGACTTGTTATGGGATTTAAACTCAATTTCCATTCCAACACTATCTCCGGCTAAACCAGACCTATGGTAAAGAGAAGGTTGTGTGATTTCTAATGGTCAACATGTTGATAGATACTGAATGAGTCGTGATCAGCAAGTAATTCTGATTTTAGCCCATCAAGCTCCCTCCCCTACCTTCATTATTTTTTTCGGCATGCTTCTCTGTTTGCAGTGCTAAAAGATTTCATTCATGTTTCTGAAAGTCTTCCTCCTCCTCCTCCTCTTAAATCTTGGAGCCTCAGCTGAAGATAGCTTCATTTACAATGGATTCAGCAGCGCCAACTTAATCCTCGATGGCATCGCTTCGATCACATCCAACGGCCTCCTCGAGATGACCAACACAACATTAAACATGAAGGGCCACGCCTTTCGTCCGAAACCTTTTCGGTTCAAGTCTCCAACGGGTAAAACTCTCTCTTTTTCAACCACTTTTGTGTTTGCAATTCGCTCTGATATCTCGGATCTAAGCGGCCAAGGAATAGCCTTCGTTGTGTCTCGAACCACTGATTTCTCTGCTGATACAGCCCCAAGCCAGTTTCTTGGGCTCTTCACTCCCAAAAACAATGGCAATTCGAGCAATCACATCTTTGCCATTGAGCTCGACACTTTACAGAACCCCGAGTTTCGAGATATCAACGATAACCATGTTGGAATCGATATCAATAGCTTGATCTCTAACCAGTCCCTTCCTGCTGGTTATTATGAAGATGGTACTGGTTCATTTCAGAATTTGACTCTAATCAGTGGCAAGCCGATGCAAGTTTGGGTAGATTTTGATGGAGATAAAATGCAAATAAATGTTACATTATCTCCAATGGGAATGCCTAAACCTATTAAGCCTCTTCTATCTGATATCGTTGACCTTTCGAGCTTGATTCTCGACAATATGTATGTCGGTTTCTCTGCAGCAGACGGTCCTTTTCGTACTCACCATTATGTTCTTGGATGGAGCTTTAAAATGAATGGAGCACCAGACCCACTTGATTATAAAAAACTTCCTGAACTTCCTGCCATCAAAACAAATAGCAAGTCAAAGACTTTGGCGTTATGGCTGCCTATATCTTTGAGCTTGTTTCTTCTATTAGCTGTTGCTGCAACTTTGCTGATAGTGAGAAGAAGGGCGAAATACGCTGAGATACATGAGGATTGGGAACAAGAATACGGGCCTCATCGATTCAAATACAAAGTCTTGTACCAGGCGACCAATGGATTCAAAGAAAGAGAGTTACTGGGCAGTGGAGGCTTTGGTAGAGTCTACAAAGGAGTTTTACCTGATTCAAACATTGAGCTTGCAGTGAAGAAAATCTCCCATGATTCAAGACAAGGAATGAGAGAGTTTGTAGCAGAAATCGTTAGCATTGGTCAGTTACGCCATCGAAACCTCGTTCAGCTCTTAGGCTACTGCCGTCGCAAAGGTGAGCTCATCTTGGTCTACGATTTCATGCCTAATGGTAGTCTAGACAAATTCTTATATGACCAGACCAAGCCAACCCTCAATTGGGCTCAGAGGTTTCGAATCATCAAGGGAGTTGCCTCCGGTCTTTTATACCTACACGAAGATTGGGAGCAAGTTGTGGTTCATAGAGACATAAAGGCTAGCAACGTGTTGTTAGATAGAGAATTAAACGGACGACTTGGGGATTTTGGCCTCGCAAGGTTATATGATCGGGGGACTGATCCTCAAACGACGCACGTAGTCGGAACAATGGGCTATCTTGCGCCAGAGCTTACTATGAACGGTAAAGCTACAACCGTGACCGATGTTTTTGCATTCGGTACTTTTATGCTTGAAGTTGTTTGTGGGAGGAGGCCAATCATGCCTCATTGCGTCGGCGAGGATTTGATTCTTGTGGATTGGGTCTATGAGAATTTTCGAAGGGGGTTGCTGATCGAAACAATGGACCCGAGGTTGGGGGATGAGTACTCCGTCCATGAGGTGGAGTTAGTTTTGAAACTCGGGTTGTTATGTGCACATCCAGTTCCTGCATCGAGACCAAGTATGCGACAAGTGATGCAGATTTTGGATGGTGACGTAGAAATGCCTGAATTGGTGCCGAGTTCTCTGAGCTTTAACACTCTCTCTTTGTATCAGAATGTAGGGTTTGATAATTACCTTATGTCTCTTACTTCGTCCGCGGGTACCATTACCTCTGGGCCGACCGGTCGATGATTTTAGTTTTATAGGTGGGATTGTTTTCTTCTTTCTTTCTTTCTTTTCCCCTCTCTTTTGAGTGTAAATTGAAGTTATAGAGTGATTGTAACTTATAAAGTCTTTTTGTTTATATTTTTGTAAGATACTGAGTGTAGATGGTTTTGAGGCGGCAAGTGATCTTTCTTCGGGTTTAGCTATGGACTCAGTCTGTCAAGAAACACTAGATTTTTGCAAAAAATTGTAAATTTATGTCTTTCTTAGTCTGGGCTTGATGATCCACTAGTGTTTTTTTTTTCAATTCCTGCTTCTTAAATTGAGAGATTGTTTTTCTTTCTTTCCAGTTTCAGTAACTTCACGAAAGGCTTGGCATTAAATTCTATGCTACACGCGTGTGATCAGTTTAAAGTAGTTGATGGCTGGAACAATTTACTTGCATTGTTGTCCATGTTAGTGGTTCATATTATTTAATGATCTTCTATCATTTTTATAGTGACATGTCTGAAACAGACTTGTCACCTAATGGTTTTTCTATATGTCCATTTGCCCGCCCATAATTTCTTCGGTTCGAGTAGTCAATTCAACTATCTTCCTAGATTTAAACTTTAGATACTAACTTAGTAATCTAGTAAAAAGTTCTGTAATTTGAAGGTGTACTTACTGCTCTGGTAATTAATATATGAACGAAAGCTTAGCCAATCGTAGCAATCACAAGATCTTGTTTTGAATAATTATGACATACTCATATTCACGATGGTCAAATGTGATGACTTGTGCCTTTGTCCCTATCATATGACGTGAGCCGTCGAGGACTTTAGAGAGAGACTCTATCAGCTCTCTCCATCTCACATGTCCGTTCCTCTCTCAAGTCATCTTCATTAATTAACCATGGACCTCTCTCACTCAGATCTATTTCATGATTCAATTTCGGTAGCTGTAGATGCTCTTATCCTTTCAGACGGCTAGCTAAGATTCTTTTTCCAGGCTGTGTGGGCTCAATCCTTTTTTTTAATAACATCATGGACTAAACATGTTTAATATTAGAAAATACCCTCGTGAAGTTTAGCCTTTTTGATCCCTGAGAATGTAACAAATTCAAAATTCTCTCTCTTCTCAGAAACTTCATCAAAATTCTGGTTGTTGACTTGGGTGCCTAATTCTTCAGTCTATATCTTATTACCTTGCTTTTGATTCCGTAACAACTGATAGGAGACTTCAGAATGCGTAGGCATCACGCTGTTCTGAATTGCACAGTGGATTTTAGTCCCATATAACCCTTTTTGGTTTCTTTGCTTCCAAATTTACGGGGCTAATTCAGTTCTCAACAAACATGTTCACGAAAAATCAGTTCTTCTTCTTCTTCTTCCTCCTCTTCCTAAAGTTGTCGGCCTCAAGCGACGACGATTTCATCTTCAACGGATTCAGTGGAGCTAATCTAAACCGAGAGGGAGTTGCGTCGATCACTTCCGATGGCCTTCTTCAATTGACCAACAGAACACAAAACAAGAAGGGATACGGTTTTTATCCAAGCCCTCTACAATTCAAGTCTTCATCAGGTAAGGTCCTCTCTTTTTCGTCTACATTTGTGTTCGGTATCCTCCCTGAGGTCCCGTATCTCGGTGGCAATGGCATCGTCTTCGTTATATCGAAAACCACTGACTTCTCTGACGCTACCGCAAGCCAATTCTTCGGCCTTTTCAATGATAGAAACAATGGGAATGCTACTAATCATGTATTTGGTGTTGAGCTTGATACTGTTTTGAATCCTGAGTTTCAAGATATCAATAACAATCATGTTGGTATCGATATCAATAGCTTGGATTCTTACAATTCGACTTCTGCGGGTTACTATGATGATAGCTCTGGTTCGTTTCAGAACTTGACTCTCATCAGTAATAAAGAAATGCAAGTGTGGGTCGATTTTGATGGCGAAAAGAATGAACTCAATGTTACTTTATCTCCAATAGGCATGACTAAGCCAAAGAAGCCTCTTTTATCCTCTATTGTTGATCTTTCGAGCTTGATGCTCGATGAAATGTATGTTGGTTTCTCTTCAACCAATGGTGGTTTTCATACTTCCCATTATGTTCTCGGTTGGAGCTTCAAGATGAACGGAGAAGCTCGAGCGCTCGATTACACAAAGCTCCCCAAGCTCCCTGTTATTAGTACCAAAGGCATTTCAAAAGCTTTTGCTATATGGCTGCCTATCTCTGTGGTCTTGTTCATACTACTGATTATTTCAGCAATTGTTATGATACGAAGGCGACGAAAATTCGCTGAATTGCTCGAAGATTGGGAGCTCCAATACGGCCCTCATCGATTCTCATACAAAGATCTGTACAAATCAACAAAAGGGTTCAAAGAAAAAGAGCTATTAGGCGCAGGAGGTTTCGGTAAAGTCTACAAGGGGGTCTTGCCTAACTCCAAACTCGAAGTTGCGGTCAAGAAGGTATCTCATGAATCGAGGCAAGGAATGAAACAATTCGTCGCCGAAATCGTGAGTATCGGTCAACTCCGACACCGAAACCTCGTTCAACTTCTAGGCTACTGTCGACGCAGAGGCGAGCTCCTCTTAGTCTACGATTTCATGCCCAACGGTAGCCTCGATAAATTCTTATACGATGGAGCTCAGCCTACTCTTAATTGGGCTCAAAGATTTCGAATCATCAAAGGAGTAGCCTCAGGACTCTTGTATCTACACGAAGATTGGGAACAAGTTGTAGTTCACAGAGACATCAAAGCAAGCAATGTACTACTAGACAGTGAGCTCAATGGTCGACTCGGAGACTTCGGCCTTGCGAGATTATACGACCATGGGACCGATCCTCAAACGACACATATCGTCGGAACAATGGGATACCTCGCACCGGAGCTTTCAAGAACAGGCAAGGCGACAACCGCGACCGACGTGTTTGCATTCGGTGCGTTTCTACTCGAAGTCGTGTGTGGTCGCAGACCGGTGGAGCTGAACCTCGACCTAGAGGAGCAGTTGTTGATCGGCTGGGTGCTAATGAGTTGGCAAAGGGGGCATATTCTTGAGACAAGGGACGTTAGTCTTGGGGACGAGTACTGTGATTACGAGGTTGAGTTGGTGCTGAAACTTGGGTTGTTGTGTTCGAACCCGATGGCGGCGGCAAGGCCGAGCATGAGGCAGGTTGTGCAGGAGCAGTTGTTGATCGGCTGGGTGCTAATGAGTTGGCAAAGGGGGCATATTCTTGAGACAAGGGACGTTAGTCTTGGGGACGAGTACTGTGATTACGAGGTTGAGTTGGTGCTGAAACTTGGGTTGTTGTGTTCGAACCCGATGGCGGCGGCAAGGCCGAGCATGAGGCAGGTTGTGCAGTATTTGGAGGGGGATTTGGCGTTGCCGGAGTTGCCGGCGGGTTATGTCAGTTGTGCTACGCCGTCGCCGAGTGAAGGGTTTGATAAGTCTTTTTGTTCGTCCGTGTCGAGTCTTTCTTCGTTGTCGGGAGGACGGTGAAAGTTTTTGTAGGCGGAGATGGGAGCTCTCCCGCTTAGTATTGTAATTAGCAGCACGCTCAAGTGCAGATTGTGATATAGAATGTTTGAATCCTGTAGGTAAGAGTAATTCGAGTGCCGTGTGTAAAATTAATGCTTGATTTGCTTCAAGTAAGGCGTTTCTGAAGTTGGACTTCTTATAAGAACGCGACTGAAGCAATTTGAATCCTCCTTTAGTCATCTTGGCATGAAGAGAGCGCTTTTTGATTCACAGTTTCTGTAAATATTTAGTAATTTGCAATTTATTTCTAATCTACCTGTTTTTGGTTGATTCACTGTTGTCCATAATTTAGCTGTGTACTTCTGAAACTCGACAATTATATGATCATGTGATTGGGGTTTATCAGTTAAATTCAATTACTTTTTAAGTTGTAAGCTCTACTCGGTCTGTTGTTGTTTGCACTTTCCTTCTATGTTCTCTATTATTTTCTCTTTTAGAATAAAATTGATCTAAGACCCTTATCCTTAAAAAAAACTTAGATCATACGTCATGTGAATTACCCTGATTTTCATTTTCATTTACAATAATTCAGAATTATTTATTGAAAGATAGACAATATTAAAGGAATTATTCTCTTTCTTAGTTTGTTAAGAGTTAATTATATAAAATCATATATTCTTAACATACTTTATGCATAATTCATAATTCATAATTTAAGTTGAAAGATTCTTCCAAAAAATATTGTTTCTTAATAGAAAGGAATTAGTCTCTTAATATACTCTTTCTTATAGTGTTTAGAATCCGAATGTGCTTTTATCTCAAGAAACAAGGAAAGAGAAATATAAAGAGAGGAGAAGAACGGAGATGTCGGCAATCAGAATTGGCTAACCCTTGATAGGAGTCGTAATCAGTATTTATCTCTCAATATAGGTTACATATTTGTGTATACACCCTCATATACAATTACATATTTGCATATACACTATACACCCCCCCCCCCCCACCACCCACCACCAACGTGTTCTTCATCTGCATCCTCCAATAGGAAAAATCATTCTTCCCATTGAATTTTTCAATCTCGTATTTTCCAACTTTAACTGTTTTACTTGTTGACGCCATCCTCCGCTTGTATTAGTAAACCGCTTCTCTCAGAAAAAATTACCGAGCACCACCTCAAATCAGAAGCTACACCACTCCCAATCTGAATAACAGCTCTGATACCAATTGTTGGGCGTAGAGTCACGCCCACCGCCGCGGAAGCGATATCACCTGAGAGAGAGCCCTGGCTTTTGTTGTCCCAAAAGCACAAGTCAACCTCTATATTCTTGTTTCTCAAAGGAAATGAGAATAGATAGTGGAATTCTTATTTCTCAAAGGAAACAAGAACCGAAAGTGATATATTTCATCAAAGTGAAATATACACTCTTCCTCTCATCAGCTCTAAGACCGAATATTGAGGGAACCTTGAAATAGCCAACACTCAGAAAACAATAAATACACGAGATTTACGTGGTTCGGCAAACTTGCCTACGTCCACGGGAGGTGATGAGGGGAGATTCCACTATAAGGAGAACACCGACGACTTGTACAATCCACAAGCTCGTCTCAAAGAAAAAAATCTAATTTTTACCCAAAAGAAATTAAAGATCTGATTTTTACCCAAAAGAAATTAACCTCCTTTTGTAAATCTCTCAAAACCTCTCTCCTTTTATCTTCTAAAAGAACCCTCTGTTTTACCCTGCAGCCGAAAGTCCACCTCTCTGCTTTTCTTTCCCGCAGTCTTTTCTCTAATAAGCCACTGTTCCCGCACTTTGCCTCTGCGATTTTCCCCACAGCAGCCGCCTAAAGAATTTTCCCCACACGGAACCCTAGATGATAAATACATTGATATTTATAAGATGTTGGTGGGCCGGTGAAGAAACCCGCTTGCCTGGGATTGCTTCACGCATGGGCACGTGGGTGGATCCCACCGAATTGGAATTGATGAGCTTTGCCTCCGCGTTGATGGATTGCCTCTGCGTTCACAATTCTCCACCTCGTACATTATTTGATAAACCTTAAATATTGGACGAACACCAAAAGAACACCGCGAACATCACCAGTGATAGATCTGAAACAACAAACTAGGCCAAACCAGCTGCGCCACTTTACCGCGGCTGCCTACGTACCCTTTACCGGGATCAAGCTAACCGTAGTTCTGCTATTGTTCTCCATCATAGTCTCCACCTCACTCCATCACCGCCCCGAAGGGCCATGCCCTCTTGGGCAAATCAACACGGGCTGATATGAAGCAAGTCCAAGCAATGCTTAAACTTGCTACCTGTGACCACCTTGGTTAACATGTCAGCGGAATTCTCATTCGTATGCACCTTCATGAGAGAAATATCACCTTTCTCTATGACGTCCCGCACAAAATGATACCTGACATCGATATGCTTGGTACGAGCATGATGAACTTGATTCTTCGCCAAGTGAATCGCACTCTGACTGTCGCACCACAAGTTCACGTTTTCCTGCTCAATCCCCAAATCGTCTAGAAGACCCCACAACCACAATGCTTCCTTCACTCCCTCCGCCATGGCCATATACTCGGCCTCTGTAGTAGAAAGTGCCACTGTAGCCTGTAACATCGATCGCCAACTAACTGGAGCTCCATGTACCTTGAATACATAACCAGTAGTAGATCGCCGTCTATCTAGATCTCCCGCATAATCAGAGTCAACAAACCCGTCAATCTGACATGTATCTCCACCAAAACACAGACCCGTGTTCACAGTACCTTTCAAGTACCTCAGGACCCATTTCACCGCTTCCCAGTGCGCCTTTCCCGGATTCGCCATGAACCTACTGACCACACTAACCGCTTGTGAAATATCTGGACGTGTACACACCATGGCGTACATCAAACTGCCAACTGCACTAGCATAAGGAACACGCTCCATGTGTGCCTTATCTTCCGCTATAGTGGGAGATTGTTTACCTGAAAGCCTAAAGTGTGGAGTCAATGGGGTCGCCACCGACTTAGCACTTTGCATCCCGAACCTCACAATCACCCGTTCTATATAGCCCTTCTGACTCAAGAACAATCACCGATTCTCCCGCTCTCTTCTAATCTCCATACCCAGTATTTTTCTAGCAGCGCCTATGTCCTTCATCTCGAACTCTTTACCAAGTTAAGATTTTAACCTATCTATCTCCACCCCGCTCTTAGAAGCAATAAGCATGTCATCTACATACAAAAGGAGATAAATATAATCACCTCCACGAAGCTTCCGAATGTAAACACAGCAATCATAGTCGCTTTGGGAAAACCCATGCTTCAGCATGAAGGAGTCAAATCGCTTGTACCACTGCCGAGGAGATTGCTTTAGTCCATAGAGTGACTTCCTCAAGCGACTTACATGATGCTCCTTATCCTCAACCTTGTAGCCCTCAGGTTGATGCATGTAGATCTCTTCATCCAAGTCTCCGTGCAAGAAGGCTGTTTTAACATCGAGTTTTTCCAGCTCAAGATCACCATGAGCAACAATACTCAATAGCACCCGAATAGAAGTGTGTTTCACCACCGGAGAAAAGTTCTCATTGTAATCCACACCCTCTTTTTGTGCAAACCCTTTAGCCACTAGCCTCGCCTTGTACCTTGTACCACCGAGCTCTGAAGGATCTTCCTTTCTCTTATACACCCACTTACAACCAATAGCTTTTCTTCCTACGGGCAATGGGACCACCTCCCATGTTTGGTTCTTCCGAAGAGATTCCATCTCCTCCTCCATCGCAGCCAACCAACTCTCACTATCTTTATCCCGAATAGCTTCCTTGAAGGAGACCGGCTCATCTTCCTCCACCGAGAGTGCGTATTCAACCAAATTAACCTGCCCATAGTGCTTCAGGGGTTGATCAGCCCCCAGCTTTTGTACCTGCTTGTATACTCGCTTTGGCCTAGTGGAAGCCAAAGTATCCTTGAGCTGCTGTTGTTGTAGTGCCTGTGTATTCTCCTGCTGAACCTCCTCTTGCTCAAGCTCATCATCTACCTGATTTTCCACTTGAACATGACTAGAACCTGGTTGGTCTTTAGATTCTATCTCAATAACCTAGGACTTTGAAGTCCCAACAATCCCAACACCATCATCCTTGGGCGCCCTAGCAATCATGGATTTTTCATCAAAGGTAACGTCCCTGCTGATCACGAACTTCGAATCTTCTGTACACCAAAGGCGGTAGCCTTTTACGCCCTTCGCATACCCCAAGAATATCGCCTTCTTGGCCCTCACGTCAAGCTTTCCCTCGTTGACATGATAATAGGCGGTACATCCGAAAATTCTGAGCCTCTCATAATCTGCATGTTCCCCTGACCACACCCTATAGGGTGTATCACCATCTAGTGTAGAATGTGGAGAACGGTTCACAATGTAACATGCTGTAGCCACCGCTTCTGCCCACCATTCGTTGCCCAATCCAGCATAAGATCGCATACTTCTTCAGATTCTTCAGCAAACCCTCTTTACCAAGCAGATCCAGACCCTTCTCTGACATGTGCCCAAGCCGCCTATGCCATAACCGGGTGTGCTCACATGGGTCTCCACCACTTCCATCAGTTCCAACCGCTGCATCTCCTGTCACCGTCGTACCCGAGAGAGTATATAGATTACCGTGACGAACACCCTTCATCACTGTTAGGGAACCTCGAACAACCTTCTTCACTCCATTCTCTGTAACAATCTTGCAGCCACCGGAGTCCAATGCACCCACTGAGATAAGATTCTTTCGCAAGGCGGGAACATGCCGCACGTCCGTTAGAGTTCGAACCACTCCATCATGCATCTTGATTTTGATATCACCAAGCCCCACCGTTTTACAAGCATGGTTGTTCCCCATCAATACGGTTCCACCATCAATGCTCTTGTAGGTAGTAAACCACTTCCTATTTGGACACATATGGTAAGAGCAACCAGAATCAAGAATCCACTTCCCGGAGGTATCCTCGCCACCCGTAACGATATAGCATTCCTTATCGCTCCCTTCCTCCGATGCGTAACTCGCCTCTTCCTTGCCTTCTCTTCTCTCGGTCTTGTTGTTGTTCCTTTTCCCACCTACTCTCTTGTTAGGACAGTCGACCTTGAAATGCCCAACTTCACCGTATTTGAAGCACGCTCGTCCCGCAAGGGGTCTCGATTTAGATCTAGACTTTCCTCCCTTGCCTTTTCCTCGCTCATTGCTCCTTCCTCTAGCAAACAATCCCTGCGCTTGTTCTTTGTTACCACCAGTAGTCATGTCACTGGTTGCAATCTTCCGAAGGTCATCCGCTAGAAGCTCCGTTCTAGTCTCATCCA